CGGATATCAGCGAGCATTATATAGATAAGACATTCTAGCGCCGCGTATCTATCGCCACGTATCTATTTCCTAACATTGATATCTCCGTTGCGCCTATGACAATCTCTCTCTTTAAAAAAAAAATCTTGTCAGTCTTATTGATTTAAATATTAGTCAACTTTCAAAAGAAGTTCAGACTGAACAACATCTAAATCTTCTAAAACAGATGAGAAACAAAGTAATTTTTATATACATTGATGGCTCAAAATGTGAGAAAACAGCTAATTTTGGAGCTGAAATAGCATATTCAGAAAATGATAAAAACCATATTCTTGATTTTTGACAAAATTGAAAAAGAGTCAGAAGTTTTTAATACGGAATTATTTGCAATTTCAAAAGCTTTCAAATTGATTGAGATAAAGATTAAACAATGAAAATAATTTGAGCATATTTGAATATTCTTTGATAGTAAAGCTGGGCTTAAAAGACTTCAAAATAATAAAATCGGCAGTGGACAGTCAATGCTAGAGCTGATTTTGAAAAGTCTTCAAAATATTCAAAGAAAAATCTCATTCAGTTGTTCTATTCATCTTCACTGGGTGCCTGCTCACATGGGTATATATGGCAATGAAATGGCTGATAAAGCTGCAAAAAAAGCAACTGAATTAGAAGTCTACTTTCAAAGAATTGTAACATGGGCTTATATTAAGAGAAAAATAAGAGAATCATGTTTGCAAAAATGGCAAGATATTTAGTTTTTACAAAAAAAGAGTGTACATTATTTCATGTTTGAAACTAAGCCAAAATGGAAAGCTTGCTCAATAAAATGTAAAAAGAAACTTTTTGCTACAATAATGCAGCTAAAACTTGGACATGGTTATTTTAAATCATATTTAACAAAGATTAGAAATGATTTAAATGATTTATGTTCAAATTGTCAGTTATATGAAAACCCAGAGCATCTTCTTTTACTTTGTACAAAGCATACAGAGTTAATATTGAAATTGAGAGAGAAGTTTGAATTGACACAGTTAAATTTAAAACTTTTGTTCAATATAAAAACTAGAAATGAATTCTTGATTGAATATTTGAAAAAATCAAATATTGCTACAAGATTTCAATTAAATAGTTTGATCTGATAATGAATTCAATTTTTGTTTTTCTTTTTTTCTTTTATTTCTATGTATTTGCTTTAATTTCAATTAAATAGTTTGATCTGATAATGAATTCAATTTTTGTTTTTCTTTTTTTCTTTTATTTTTATGTATTTGCTTTAATTTTTGTTCTTGTTTTTATTTTTATTTTGTTACTTTTGCTTTAAAATTTATTTCATTTTGATTACTTTTGATTTTGACTTGTTTTGAAAAGTTTGATTTGTGAATGCTTTCTTTTCTTTTAATAGCTGCTGTTTTTTATACTCTTTATTTCATTTGTTTTGAATTGAATGTATTGATCTGTTGTCATTCTTTTGACATTCTTTTTTAAATTGAATAGTTTGAATAGTTGTTTGATTCTGGGCTGGAATTCTGCTATTGCATGTATTCAATTGACTTTGTATATTAGCTTATTCTTAAGTTGAAAAATCCTGAAGTATTTCAGATAGATGTTATAATCACTGACTGCATACTTCTATAATGGAAGAATAATAATAATAGCACATCAGATGCAATGTGGCACATCACAGAGATCTTCTTTATCATCAATACTGTTTCTTCTGTATCTGACAGAGCTGCTGTGGCAAAACTCAGAATTGCACTTTAACTATGTGGATGATCTGAACATCTGACAGATGACCCACTCACTTGATAATAATGCCACTCTTTTCAGCCAAAATATACAGAGTATTTTGAGATGGGGGGAGATAAACAAGATGGCCTTCGCACCAGAGAAACATGAGATGATCCATTTTACAAAAAAGTGACACAATGAGGTATCAGCAATAGTTGTGTCTGAGAACTTCACTGTTCACTCTGTTACTGCCTGTAATAGGCGCAACGGAGATATCTATATTAGGAAATAGATACGTGGCGATAGATACGTGGCGATAGATACGTGGCGATAGATACGTGGCGATAGCAATATTATCTATATAATGCTCGCTGATATCCGTGGTTTTTAGGAGATCAGCGATTAGCTTTGAACAATAGAGATTGCTACCTTTCTAATATCCTTTGTGCGTACTTCACACTACTCTTGTAATTACTCTTGTAGCCCATCTCTTACACTGCCCCAGCTGAACAGAAGTCAACACTTCATTAACTGAATATACACTTCAATAGAAGGCTCATCTGAAAACCACATATCTCCACTCAAACAAAGAAGGCAAAAGCTGTAGCTCAGCATATTCAAAGTCTGAGAAAGATCAGAAATGGGCTTTCAGCAGACACTCTGCCGAAGGCAGTCACCATCTGTGTGGTTCCCTCACTGCTCTATGGCATAAAGGCCTAGTATTATTATTATTATTCTTCTTCTATTATACTCATATGCAAGCAGTGCTTATGACGAGTCCTTGTGTAATGTTAAATACAGGCAAGAGTTGGTTATACAGGAGGAATGCTTAGTGTTGAATAACGCCAAGAATATAACAAGCACATAGGAAAATTAAATGAAAGTCAGGATTTTGGTACTCGCGATACAGGTTTCCAGCCCAGAAACAATAAGCTAAATCAGGTAGTAGGTCCGCCCGAAAGGTACCTACTTGGCAAGTTCACATCCCTTTGTTTTAGCTGAGAAATTGGCTCCGGATGTAATGTTGTCCCCTTGTGGGTTTCGAACCCACGCGCCTTGAGTCCCCACGCCAAGGCGCTACCTGGTGGCCGCATTACCCATTCGGCCACCGGGGGTGCATTTGACTGTGTTTGAGTTGCATTTGATTGTGTTTCACTTTCTCAAATGATTAAAACTTTGATAGAACTGAGAATGCCAAAGTCTCTCATTAAGTAGGTTGTGTGTTTCATGTCAAAAAGAACTATTCAGTTGCTTTTTGATAGAATGAGACAAGACATAACAGATATTGAGATAGGAGTTACTCAGGGTTCCCCAGTCTCACTCATTTTATTTGTTATATTTATCAAGTTTCTGTTTATTGATAGACAAATGGCAATTATGGTGAGAACTCCAAGATATGTGGATGATTTGGGTTTAGTTGTAAGCTCAGAATCAATTGTAAATAATTGCAATTTGATTAAGCAAGCAGCAACTGAAATGATTGAAAAAGCAAAATCAAAAAAAAATTGTTTTTAATATAGATAAAACTGAATTAATTTACTTTTATTCAAATTTCAGAGAAAGAGATACTGAAGTTAAGCTTTTAAATCATTCAATTAAATTAAAAAATTCAGTTAAATGGCTTGGTGTCTGGTTAGATTTTCAGATAAATTTTAAATCTCATGTTCAGATCAAAGTTGCAAGTGCTGAAAGAATGGTAAACAGTATTTTAAAACTTTCAAATACTGAGAGAGGCTTGTCTTTTCAAGCAATGAAACAATTATATATTGCTTGTATAACCTCTGTTTCAAACTTTGCAGTTCAAGTATGGTGGAAAAATCAAAAGAGTTTTGTAGAGAGGTTTCAAAAGCTTCAAAATTCAGCTTTAAGAAAAATATTGAGGGTATTTAAAACCTCTTCAATTAAAGCCATGGAGATTGAAGCCTTTCTACTATCATCACAAGTGAGATTTGATAAAATCTGTATGAATTATGCTCTCAAAATTATGAAGGTATATCTCAATCATTTAATTAGAAAAAGAGTCTCAAGTTATTTTCCAAGTGAATCAACTGGAGTAGATCTGAATTGGGAGTCTTATTTTGATTGGAATGAAATAAATTCATCTGATAATTTAACATCTATGCAAAAAAAGAAGATACCATCTCAGTTATTTAGAATTTGCTCCATGATTAAAGACAGTTTCTCTAGTTTAAATGTGGAGAAAGTGGTCTTTAAAAATCTCTGTAAGAGATGGGCTACAAGAGTAATTATAAGAGTAGTGTGAAGTACGCACAAAGGATATTAAGAAGGTAGCAATCTCTATTGTTCAAAGCTAATCGCTGATCTCCTAAAATCCACGGATATCAGCGAGCATTATATAGATAATATTGCCATCGCCACGTATCTATCGCCACGTATCTATCGCCACGTATCTATTTCCTAATATAGATATCTCCGTTGCGCCTATTACACTGGTACTGAGACTGGAGTTTCAGCAGGCTGACTGTGGAATATCAAGTGAAGGCCTCTCTGAAGCTCACCATGCCACAGCATACTCTTCACTGCTGATTCATACTTCACTCCTCTCATGGAGACTTCTCCTGATATCACAGATATTTTCAACATGCAGATGTGAGATTTATCTGTGTTTGTGAACACAATAAAAACTCAAAACATTTGATGCTCTATCAACACTTATAAAAACATCTTCTTCACTGACTCAAGAGGTCAGCAGCACAGCCACACAATCAGATGACAGCTGTTGTCTATCTAGAGTCTCTGACCCCTACAAACTTTGTAGAACTGCTGAACTGCACGCAGTTCTACATATAGTACTGCACAAAATAACACAGTCGGCTGGCTGCACATCATCTGACAACCCCCGCAGCAGTTCCATGAGGCCGGCCTGCCGAGTACACCTACAGTAGCTAGTGCAACTGCCAGAGATAACACAGTCTATACAGACAGTACAGATAGCACAACTAGACTCATCTATTTCAATTAGCTGTGATGTAATCAGTACAATCTACATGTCTGACTTAGTTAATATGTTCTTGACTGCTGGCAATGTATCTACACATACTCTGCTTTGTTTTTGCTACCGAGTCTCTAACCTAGCAAGCTTCTCACTGGTATAAGGTAAGGTCGGGGATTATATAATGTTGCTGAGCTTGTTCACTAAGTCAGGAGGTAGTGCCACTATCACAGGTTAAGATATAACATCAAGAGGAATATTTAAGATGACTAGCAATAGCTACGGCGGCGGCCTGAGGTAAACATATGAGTACTTAGTAGGGCTTACAGGTAGGGGCGAAGGCTTAAGGTATGCGTCGTGAAGAAATATACTTAAGGTGAACTTATAGTCGTACCATGTAACGGAGTATAAGTAAAAGTAGTAGAAGAGTAAGTAAGTAAGATGAAATTGATCGTGATCAAGAAGATAAGCTCCTTGATCCTAAGGGTAATGAGTGTGTTTATATACATCTTGAGATACATGAGGGTAGCTCGGATAGCTCTTGCCAAGATAGCTATCAGAGTGAGGATAGCTGTGATCACTCCGCTCACTCGAGTGATCCGAGTGATCCAGGTGATCCGCTATGTCACGTGACCTATTGTTCCTATTGGTTAACCGGATCTTCCCTTATCCGATGTCTAGCTTGCATGCCCTCTACCATTTAGTCATTCCTTGTCCAATGGCTCTCAAGGTTGTGCCGTAGGTTTGTAACAGTTTTCCTCTCATTTACTCTTGTTTCTATTAGCTCAAATGCTTCTTCTTTCTTCTTTTCTTTGCTCTCTCTATCATTCTCTGCTCTTTTCCTTTCACAACCTTCTTCAATGCTCTCTCCTCTCTTTTCCCCCGGGTCTGTGCCAGGTCACGTGACTGCAAGGTGTTGCAGATGACACAGTCTTTACTTCACCTCTCTCTTTTATTCTTTTCATTTCAGAACACACACTTTCCCTCTCTTTCTTTTATTATTTATCTTATCTATCTTTCTTTTGATGTTAGAAGCACAGACAGCTTTCTGATCAACTGAGAGAGATATCCCTCTCTGCTCACTATAAAACCTTCCAGGTACTGCAGCAGCGGTCCCCTCAGGGAATCACACTATAACCCCACCATGAATGGTCATACATCGGGTCAGAAGTGGATGCGCAGATTAGAAAAATCCTTTGCAATGAGCTGAGTCTTCTCAAGAGTTGCCATCTGAATTCTATTTTCTCTCTCTCTCTGTGTACATAGAAATCTCTTCAATGTAGCACATCTCCATGCCCTTCAGAATGCTACTGAAACACGGGTGCTGCCCGTGTTTTCTCCGGGATGTTAAACCTATACATACATACATACTATCTATCTATCTATTATTGCTTGTACATTAACTAAGTAAACAATCGGACGGTGAGTACGCGGCCGCACCTGGCCCTCCCCCTTCCCGCGTTTCCCGAACGGGCCTGGGCCGGGCCTCGCGGACCCCGTCCATTGGCCGCCTCGGTCGTGCCGTCGCCCCTTCGGGTTTGGCGCGCCTCCCCCTCGCCGCTTGGAGTTACATCATCGACGCGGGTCCGAAAATCTATATAAGATCGCTCCTCCTCCCTCTCGCCCACGCACCTTCCCTCTTCCCAATTTCCCTCCTCGTCTCACTCTTGCCCTTCCCCTTCCCCTTTACCCCATCCCCTTTCCCTCTTCCCCCCTGCTCAGGCTCAGCCTGCCGCACCACAAAAGGTATCTGCCGATCTCCCTTGCCGAACCCGTTTCGCCATCGCATCCCCTCCCCCCCATCCCCTTCCAGCCCTCCCCCCGTCAACCCCGGCCCATCCCCTTTATTCGGTCTTCTTGGAAGACCATGTAGATCGAGAGATCACAGTTACCCACTCCTCTTCTCGAGGACAACAGGCTTTGCTCACTGGATATTTCACTCGCCCGTGCCTCTCTTGCCCGTGGACATCTTCTCTGGCTTACTCCGTTGGTCCTGCAACACATTCGCATTTCCCCCACCCCTCTCCTTCTCTTTCCGTCTGAGCTACAATTCGATGCATGCGCTTTATGCCATCGACCAATGGCAAAAATCCCTCATGTCGGCGGAACCCGAGATTGTGTGGATCCAACATCCTGCCAGCGGCGCAGCGAGATTCGACTGGACACTGGGGTGTAACGTTGAGAGGGGGGGGGAGGGGTGCCTACGATTGCCGGCGCATGCCCGCGCTATGCTATTGACCAATGGCGAAAATCCCTCATGACGGCGAAATCCGAGATTGCGTGGGTCCAGCACCCTGCCTGCGGCGTAGCGAGATTACGAGGAGTGCGGCTGGACGCTAGGATGTGACGTGGGAGGGTGCGGACGCAAAATCCCCGCCTTCGCTGAGCCTCCGGCTGCTTTCGATGATTGAATTGGCTGTTCTGGAGTGTTGGCCGCGTATCCTTGTATTCAAGGTTTGATCCATTGGCGAGGAATGCCGGCGAATCCGACGCTGGGTCGCTTCCAGCTGAGGGAACTGAGGGAGTCAGGGGCGCAGCGATCGTGTGACGGTGAGGTAGGGTGGGTCCCCCGCGCAATCCAAAGGCGTCCGAGCCACCGGTGTGTCTGCTATATCTCGGTTCATTCGTCATCGATTCTACGACCTCATGACCAATTTGCGCTCGTCCTCATGCATACGGCGTATAGGAAATGAAACATGGGCTTGCCGAGTTTTCTGTGGCTGTGATCCCTGGTGAATAGGTGGTGACCCTTAGCTCTGGACCGGTCGAAGATGCAGTTCGGAGGAACCCTGGCTCTACGTGTTGCATTCGGTGTGTTGCATTGCGATCCATCCCTGTTTTGCGGGCAGTTCCCAGGTTGGAGGGGAAGAAGCAAAGCGTTTTTTGAAATTGCTGGGGTCTATTCACAACACACAGGAAAGCCTTTCGCGGACTTTGGGCACTCTGCCAAAGGAGGAGCGTTTCTGGTTGTCGCTCTATAAAAGCGTCGGCTTTTCCCCTTCTTAAAAGCACTGCTCGCAGAACGAGGATCACAGCTTCCCCGAACCTCAATCTCAAAAGCGCACACGCTCGTGCAGAGCAAAACCCGACTGCAGTCACAATGGACAAGATCCGGTTCTACCAACCCCCAAATCTCATGAATCCCTCCAAACTACTACAGAGCCCCAAACCTCCTGCAATCCCCACACAGTTACAGCTCCCCAACCCCTCAGCACAGAGACCCATTCCCAGCGCCGACACATCCTCTTCCCTATCCTGTCCCTCACAGCAGCTCAGACACCCATTGCCCCCCCGCCCGTCCCCCTTTGTTTCATCTCCCATTTCTTCTCCGTCTGCAAGTCAACGGTCCCAGCCACCCGAAACTCCAGGAAATGACTTCGACAGGATTTTGGAGGAGATCTCGTCAGATGACGGCAGCCAACCTCTCTGCAGGAGTCGGAGAAACACCAACGACCATGCTGCCACCTTCACCACCAGGTCGGACCTTAGCGATTCTTCTGACGACCGCTTTGATATAACTATTAAGGTGGATGCGGCCGAAGAAAGTGTCCCTGAAGCCCGCCTTCATGCATACCGGTCAGGTGCAAGTAGAGGTCGGTTTCGAGATTCCCTCATGGCGTTTCTTACCGACTCCGCTGACTGGCTATTTCAGATGACCCCATCGTCATCGATGACTCGATGGAGATTTGTCACGATGATGGATTCACAGAAGAGTCTGTGGATGCGCAGACGCCTCGGCCGTTGCCATCCGCCAACAAGGCATCCACCGAGAAAGGTGGCGAACCGGATCCGATGGCGGATGGCAGTGCCGCATTGACTCCGCGAGAAGTTTCGGGTAAGGCTCGTTCCATTACGGTCCCGGTTTCCCACTGACCCGCGACAGAAACCCCCCCGCTTACCGTGAGTGAGTCGACCTCTTCTCGCGATGCCCACACCCGCGTCTCTCCACGTCCACAGAGTCGATCTCCTCCAATCCCGGTTGAACGCGCGACCAAGGAGGAGTGGCCGGTAAGAAGGATACTGGACTCCCGGATCCGTGTGCGGGGGGACGAGGCAATGCTGGAGTACCTTGTCGCATGGAAGACTACCTGGCGGACCAGACAGGTACGCCAATTGCGTTTCAGGCATATTGAGCTTCCTGCGATCCCGGCTGTATGCAACGGGACGAGGGAGGGGTGGCCAGTAAAGAAGATACTGCATTCTCGGATCCGAGTGCGAGGGGACGAGGAATCTCTGGAGGATCATGTCTCATGGGAGTCTACCTGGCAACCGCGAAGCGATCTGATTCCAGGTTGCAAGAAGTTGGTCAGAGAATTCCACGCAGAATGGAAGAACAAGCGGCCTTCATTGACTACTCTGGCGGGCTATAGGCATTTCAAGCAGAGACAGAGATCGCGCAGGGGCGGTGGACGCAAGATTGTAAAATCAATTGGTTAGAATCTTCTTCTGTGTAACATGTCAATATCAATTTCGGCTCTGATTTGTTCCGTACTTTTCCTGTCTTGATTGTTACCTGTTTGCTGTGGTTCCCCTTGTTTGATCTTTGTTTGCTTAGCATATTTGAATCCGGCCCACGAGCTCCATTGACATTGCCTATCACGTTCCAGCCGAGGGCCTATCTTGCCTACGTCCCATGGTACAGTATTTACATTGTGTGTGTTTGTTTGCTCTTCGCCCTCATTTCTTTGTCTCCCACTTTTGTTTTGCTTCGAATCATTTGTATCCGCGTATTTTGTCTAAACTCTAGAGAGAAGTATAAAGACCTCCCTAGTTCTGAATATCGATATTTCCATTCTTAAACCGTGATAACCATGCTCCGCAATTCAACTGGAAATTCGCATCTCAACAGAAACCCTATCAACCCACCACAATGCCAAATGCCGTCATTTGAAGACCTAAAGCAACCTCCTCCTCAAACGCCAAGGGCGGCGACAATACATCTCTGCATAACGAAATCATGGAGATCCGTAGCCAGGTGCCAGAAACGATTAAAATATTGAAGCAAATGGCCGCGATACTCGAGATGATAACACCAGGGAGTAAAGAACAATATGATGCCGATCTACAGGCCTCTGCAACAGAAGATCGGGATGCAGCGCTATTTCTATATCCTGTGGGCTTTATTGCTGACCGTTCAGCAAGGTACGTCGAGAATGCGTACAATGAATGGAAGGAAGGGGAACACGATGATTGGAAAGTCCGTGTTTGTCCATACCTTACTATGATTGTTACCCGACCATGTACATCTGCGAATCGGAACGAATTACTCTCTTGTGGTGCTCATGGATATAGGTCATATGGCTACTTCCCGGTGGGAGTTCACTATTGTGTCGGCATTTTCTCATAGTGTGCGTTAAAAGCTTCTAGAAACCAACAATGCCTTTGGGCTTCGACCACCTCTAGATATTTAGTTGTTCAAACTTATTGCTGCAGGTGTAATGGATAGCAATGTTCCCACTCCTCCAGGAGACATAGAATATTTGCTGGTATCCATATTTCAGCTTAAAGTAGATCATGTAGCTGACTTAGTAAGCTGTAGTGGACCTAATTAGAGAAATAACTGGACACGTTAAACCGTATGTATTGGGCAGGCTAATATATAATACTTATTCGCCAGAACAGAGCAATCACTAATCCTATTAGGTTTCAATCAGAGCTATCGTATCATCATACGCTTTAATAATAGGATCATATAACCTTTTTGGGTCCTGAGGCGTTCCAACAATAAGTCCTTCCTTCCCGTAAGGAAATAGTACGCCTCGTATGGTCTTGCAAAGATGCTTGACGCGCTCGAAGTCCGGCGGAAACTCCTGCAAAAGGTACTCAAATCCGCCAGCTTCCATGTTACCTCGTTTATAAGTTGCAATTTTCTTATAAGTTCCGGTATACCATTCTCTCAGCATGCTGTCTTTGGGCGGGTCCTGTCCCTGTCTCTGTAGCTCATTTAATTTTTCCCAACCGTGACGGGCACACTGCCAGATAAGCACGTAGAAAAACGACTCAAGATCATGTCGATAGGTGTGGTCGATATTAAGCAGCACCTCGATCGCCATGAACTCCATCGTGCCGGTCTGGTGCCGTGCGCCGCTTCGCCCGCTACCGACTTCCTTGGCAAGATCCAGATCGATTAGCATGCCGGAGTGACCATCCGCCTTTTCCGGATCGGTTATTATTATGTTGTTCTCCGAAATATCCCGATGTAGGATGCTCCCATCCAGGTAAAGAGACCGATGCGCCTTTATTGCATCGCGAAGCGCCGTGAGCAGTTCTAAGAGTGACTCGTACTTGTAGATCGGCCGCCCAGCGGGCGAGATCACCAGACAGCGGAGGACGCGGTTGTCGTAGGGTTCCTCGCCATTCCTGTCGAAGAGGCTTGGCTTGTGCGCCGACTGAACGGAGAAAGCTAGTTCATTCTCCTGCTGGTTGTCCCTCGACGGTTGATTGATGGAGCGCGATCGTTTGGATGCCTGCATCCCTTTATCCGGAGATCTGCGTTTCCTGGAAGACGACTTTCGACCTAAGCTACGGAGCTCGGTGAGCGGCTGAGATTGATGAAATGAGGAGGCCGCACTGGGGGGTGCGCTTTTGAAGTCGTGTCGCTTGTCGCCGAAGGTCAGGCCGCAGCGTACGTCGGCGATACTAGTGATGACACTATGGCCAATGATCCTGGCGACCCCTTGGACATTTTTTTGACCCGCTAGCTCGAGGAGTTCCGCCTCCGGCCGCCGCTTGTCCGACACCCACGAGAATTTGGCTACGCCCTCCACTTGTCCATCGTTTGCGAGAAAACATGTTGTCCCGCGACACACGATGGCACGCTGAAAGGAAAGCATTTCACCCAGCCGCAGCACCTTTTCCTCCGAGATCCCAGGCCCTTTGACGGTTATTGATTTGCTGCCGCCTTCATCCCTAGCAATAAAGGTGTCCAGTCCCAGCTCCTCGTCGCTCATCATGGTGTAGCCCACAATCACCTGAAAGAATCGTCTCGAGTCCGCGTAGACGTCGATGATACCCGAGCTGTAGGGGCCCGAGCGGTCAAACACCCACGCCTCCATCTTGGTCCCGCAGACGGCGAACGCGTGGACGAACCGCCGGGTGGGCTGCGCAGCGAAGACCTCGCGCACGCAGCGGCTCATCTGCAGCAGTGTGGTTTTGGTCTCAATCTTCTCCTTTGGTTTTTTGAGCTCGGCCAACAAACTAGGATGTCTCTCCAGTTCGTGTGGGTTTCCGCGAGGAGGCTCGCTCCCGCTAGCTCTCAGAAGGGAGGTCGACTTGCCCGTTCCGCATTCGAACCGGTAAGATCCGCTTTGCTCACCCGTGGTGTAGTAGGTGCCGCGTGATTCCGAGAGAAGGTCTTCTTGAAGACGAAACCACCAGGCAAGGACATCGTCCTGCGTAGGAGGATCAGGAAACTGGGCCCAATTCCCATCGCTGTCTGGGGCCAGCACGCGTCGACAGATGGCATCTGCTTTGTCGCTCCAGTCTTTTCCCTCAAAGTACTTGTCGAAGAAGCCCTCGACGTCTCGAAATGTGCAGCCACGTATCTCCTCAAAGATTCTCGGATTCACCAACTCACGCGTCTGCTCGGAACCTTTCTGCGATGACGAGGTGGATTTGACTGGCGTGCCGTCAAAGGAGGGCGGTACGCTCGCTGGAGGGGTCGATCGTGAGATGGTAACGGTGAGGTTGAGGACGGCCTTCCAGATATTAATGTCCGGTGCTTTTTGGATGACGAGCTGCGCCAACGCTCGATAGTAGTGGTAGTTGAAGTGACCTTGTCTGAGACGCTTGAATAGACCTGCTAGGTCAGAGTCGACATTTTGATCGCTTACGCGTGAGCGAAGGTTGAACGCGGCTTCCTCTCCCATCAAAGTGGTGAGAAGCTTTGAAATTGCCCTGTGGCAAATTTCGTCTTGTGGGTTAGCTGAGACATCGTACGCTTGTTCTGCCCCTCGAAGTTGACGTTGTAAACGATCTATCGAGTCACTTAACGGATGCTTTGCGACGATGTCGCGATCATCTGGAGAGAGGTCAGCCATGTGGTGTTTATGCATGCGGTATGCTTTCTGACGAGGCGAATTAGGGACCTTAGATGAATCGGATTTGATTGTTTTGGGAGAGGAGAATGAGTCACATGACCACACCATTCTTGTGTCTTATGTAATTTGTAGATCATGTGATGTCCCTTTCATGACCAGGGCGAGTGGCTACAATAATCTCTTAAAGGGGGAGTAATACCACAGACCATGTTGTCTGAGCGATCCAAGTCTTGTGCTTGCAAGGGAAAAATGAAAGGGAAAACAAAAGCTCCATCGGCACAGTTCACGGTGATCATATCGACAACCACGTCGCTGAAAATAGTTGAAAGCTGGCGGTTAGTCTGTTTCCTAAAAATGCTGGATAGCATGGCTGGAGGTTGCAAAACGTCATGGCTGAAGCGATCACTGCCCCACGCCAAGTCATCATCGGTTTGGTGGACAAATCACATGTTCTCCAACCCCACCCACTCTGGACTTTCCGCAGCCTGTAGATGGACTGCCTGATGGGTTGCACTTTAAATATCTCATATCATCCAACCATCCGCCCTAAGCGATGATCATGACTGTGTTATCTAAAAGTTGAGGACGTCTGCAAATTTGCCCATCCTATCGTGCTATAAAGTACGGGTATCGTTCGTCCACTGTCTATCGCCGACGTACTCTGCTCCGAATTCACTTCTATCAGCGCAATCTGCCCTTGATCCGACCTTTTGATCCGGCTTTTTGATTCGCAAGCGCTTAACTCGAGGGGTAGCCTCGTATTCCTTCTGCGGATTGTGTCCAACGTATTTAAACCCACCTGGCGAGGGCGCAAGAGTGAGCCGAGTTTACCGATCAGGTAACTGCATTGGAGAATAGAATATCTTAATGGTAAATCGAGCCATCCATGAGTTGTTTCTCGTTTAATGCGTTATTAGGCTTTCGACGAAAAACCTCTCGATCCAACCGTGGATTTTGGGAGCGTGCCTGAAAACCGCGTTACAATGATTACGGGCAAGGGTCAGATGGTATTTTGGAAGGGATGCAATGTCACTGTGTATGAGAAAGACAGCGAAGGGAACGAACAGACAAGGAAGCTTGTTGGCATGCCTGACGGGCAAGGAGTCGTAGGGGACGATACTAGGCTGTACGTTACTCGAGGGAAAGTCATTACTGGAGAGGATATCTGAACATAGCATTGCATGCGGTGGGAGTATAGGTTGCATTTTAGGTATATAGCTTGTTTCATATTTCTAGGCCTCGATCTAATCCTACAGTTAGGTTGATGATTGCCCCCTGTTGCTTCGTAAGGATCATTGACACACATTCCGTCACATGCTTGCCTTCCTCCAATTCCCTCCTGTGAACGGGGCTTTCGTTGATTGCCTTATGTATATCGGAACCAAACACCATAATGAGAGCTTCATCCCGAACACCCTTTAGAGTAGCTTCGGAGTTAGGTACGATTAGTGTGATCCCTTCGTTTAGGACAATATGAAGAACCTGTTCGACCCATTTTACTTTTGCATTGAACAGAGCCATCGCAAGGTATTCCACACCCCATTCACAGATATCCAGACTCAGGAGACAGTCGACCGGTCCTCCCCAAAGAGGAAAGACAGTCGTAACGGATGCTCTCCAAAACGTTATCCTATCAATCTGAATCGGGTCTCTTCTGATTGCACCGCAAATGTACTGGTCAAAGACCGTCGCGATCCCTTCTAGCGAGGCGTGTTCAAACACTTCTTGCGCGGTGGTAACATTTGAATTGTTCGGGGAGCCTTCGTGCGCCGAACGTTTATGCGTTTCTGTAGGAAGTGCGTTCGTGCGACAGGTCGAAATGGATGTGGAATCTCGCTCGGCTTCCACATTACGTCCCTGACGAGCTTTTCACCTGTTAGACTAGGTAAAAAAGTTAATAAAGGATTAGATGACTTGCCATGACTCTCAAAATGCATAGCTATGCTCTGAGTGGCGTCACTGTGGGCATGGTATAGATGCTCGCTGTCCGCGAGCTGCCTAGGTTGAGAGTTGTCGCAAGGAGACTCTGGCCCGTCAATAGCGGTAGCATTTTCTTCGTCACTTTCTGATAGTTCTGAACTGGATATCCGCTGTGCAACTCCCTCTCCATGGACGTCATTCGAAACTAACTTGTCAGCACTGGAAAGGCATCCGAACCACAGACTCACTCACCTTCTGCAGAATCGGGTATTTTCTGGCGCTTTGCGAGGGATCGAAAAATTGGATGATTAATCGGTGGCTGATCTTTCCTCTTTTCGAGTTCATCAACGAGAGTGGCCCGATCGCTCTTCCTCATGCCGACCACCGTGGTTTGGCCCAAGGCGATGGCACATAACAGAAAACCATGCGGCCCGCATCTGGAAAGCACATCATGGAGAAAGAGCTGATACTTTTGACGTTTAAGGGAACTTTGCACCTGCTTCAACAACGCAACAGCCTCAGCGACACGCCTCTGGTCGTTCCGCCTTAAGCACCGAAGAATCTCCAAAGTGCGTCCAGTATCCACTACTTTCTTCCATGCATTGTTGCTGCTGATTGATTTGCGGGGAGACCGTTGCTTCTTCGACGGTTGAGACATTAGAGATCCGGGCGAGTCTGGAGTTTTTGGGCGGGAAGGTTGTGAGGTTAATTGGAGGTGAAGATGGAGGTAAAAAAGGAGTAGCAAAGTGGGGTATGCAGGCTCCGTTTAGTGACACGTGTTCGCCTCATGTGGCCACATCTCGAGTCAGACTTTTTGGAGGTAGGCTTGGAGGGACTTATGGAGGTATTTTAGGAAGGACTTTAAAGGTGCGAAATGCGATCTTGGCTTTGCTTGATAGCGCTTCTAATGTGGACATTCACGGCGCATGGCGCAATGTGCCTCGCATGGTCAGACAGACATCGTCTAGAACCGTTGGCACTCGTTACAGCGCAGTCATAAGTCACAACATTTCCTATTGGCCAATTGTGCAGGACTCTCGGTACGCAGTGCTCACGTAGATTATCCTACTGGTGCAAAGCGGAACAACTGTCTGTCGTCAATCTCAAAAGAGGGCAATTAAAATTCAGCATACGGGTTCAGGGACCGGGAACCTGGCATCGGGCACCTCTTTGCCCTGGGTTGTCTACAAATCAGCTCCCGCATAGAGGTCTAAAAATATTCCGCGTCGTATATCGACGATTAACAACGAAATGTAATAGCGCAAGATCATGTCTAGACATTGACGGTGGATAGCGCAATGTACCTTCATGTTCTAGGTCGCGATGGATGGCATATCCTGCTTCTGGATATGCGCGGATCAGTCCCGAGACAGTAAATCATGGAGTTCACGATGATGAACCTGGAGGCTTGGGTACAAACCAGGGGTCTAGATGGGTTTTCAGATCAACATCAGTCGAGAGGATCAAGACCATGTATCCTGCGGCACAGTTTTATGCATCCCTAAATTGAGAGAGTGACGGCAAGCTCCTCCCGTATCCGCATTGTCCAGCGAAAGGGGAAGACGACGAAAGAATAGGTGCCAGGAGTGTTGACAGAATGGCATATAAGGAGGCACGATTCCCTCCGAAATCCTGAGGCAATCAAGAAAACCGAGCAAAACTATTTCCCTATTCCAATCTCAGCGAGCCTTACATATTGTCGCTATATCTTTATCGATCACAATGCCCAAACTCTTAACATTTTAACCACGCCACGATGAAGCCCAATCCCCAAGATTTCCCCGAATGCCCCCATTCCTCCCCCTCCTCAACGCCACCCCCCAACTACAGTAATCCTTGCGTTCCCAGCTTCGTAACCAGGGAAGAGCTCAAGGACATTCTAGTGGAAGTCCTCCGAATGAAAGAATCATCGAGCCCTTCGCAGTCTACTGCACAATCTACTGCTCCTAACCCAACCGCCGAACTAGACACAAAAGCGAACGAGAAGGAATCAACCAAAGAAGTGACCCGAGCATCAAAGTTGGAATACACAACCGTGAATGAAATGTAAGCTCAGTCCCAATCTTAGAGAAGACCGAGCTGACCCTTCTCCAGCTGGAACAAGAAGCAACATCTTTACGAGATTGTGAAAGACGTCGAGGATTCGTCGGACCCATGCGACAAATACAAAGAATATGTCTTCGTCAATCGACGCCGACATGGTAGGTAGTAATCATATGGATCAAAGAACAGGCTCTGACTTCTTCAAGACCGCAATACAAACGAGATCAAGACCTACCTTGACTATAAATCGCCCGAACTGGTGGATATCCTTCGACATGTGTTGCTAGATGTAAGCGCCGTCAGTTTGCGGGAAGATAAGCCATCGGTAAGCCATCAACCCATAACTCCCGCAGGTGCATGGGTCTAACATCGACAGGTGCTGGTTGACGTCCTCTTCCAATTTCTACCGGAGCTCGAGGATTTCTACAAAACCCTTGAAGCCGAATCGACTGCTGGAAAACACCTTTACCTACTTATTGAATTCTTGAAAAGACACTTCTCTACGTTGAGGGATCGCTTAAACCCCCTGTTGGACCATCAAGAGATTACTTTTGAGCTCCTCTGGGCAATGTTCAAGCCAAATGAGCTTATCTTTATGGTTGACCCATGTTCCGAGCAACCTCGGTGTTTCGTTTATGACTCGGGTGAATTCATATTGAGCCCCCAAGGGGATTACTTCGAGATTGAATATCGGTCGCTCGACTACGACGGAAAGATATTTGGTGAGGTGACAACGGTGCTTCAGATCCCGAAGTTTCGATCCGCTAGAAAGATATCCGACCTAGGTGCCTTCCCTCTGAAATTTCACAATCGCAAAGCCAAAATCGAGGCTGAGCTCTCTAAGCGAGGCCGCAAGTTCAAGGGCCTTATGGGCGTCGCTTACTGCGAATATGAAGGTCTTGCCCATCTCAAGACGAATAAAGGCCCATTCAAATTCCACGTGGCTGGCCGGATGATGGTTGATGCCTTAGCTTTTAAGGAAAAGAACCCGAACTACGGATTCTCACGGGTAAAGGAAGAGAGCACAGGCGGTTTTATTATATTTTCTGACAATGGATATGAAAAAGAGAAGGACCAGAAGACGGTGAAGCCTCGAAATCTAGATGCCAAGAGCATGACAGACAGGGAGTACATCCTCTGCAGCCCCACGGTCCTGGGCTTCAGTCTCAGCAAAAGGGTGTGGGGTCAGTGCCAACATTGTCCTAATATTTTACCTGCGCTAATGTGACATGAGAACAGCGGAATTCGCGATTTCAAATATCCGTCCCATCGACTGGAGCCAGCTATCGTCGTTCGATCACTTGGAGATCCCTAAAGAAAAGAAAACCATGATCCAGACGATGGTGGAGAGCCACAGGCCTGGCTCGGAGATATCGTCCTTCGATGACATCGTCGTCGGAAAAGGGAGGGGCCTCATATTCTTGTTGTAGTAAGTTGCCAGAAAGCTGTCTTACTGGATCATCCGGTTAACTCTGGCATTTCACAGTGGGCCTCCTGGAGTTGGGAAAACCCTGACGGCGGAGAGTACTGCGGATCTCCTGAGAAGGCCGCTCTACTCGGTTTGTCCCTTGGCCCCCAATGTGCGATCTCGTTCTAATTGCAATAGGCATGCGCTGGCGATTTCGGAATCAAAGCGGATGATATGGAAGAACATCTATCTCGAGTCCTTGACCTCGTCCGTCGCTGGGATGCCATATTGCTTCTGGACGAAGCTGATGTCTTTCTGAGCGAACGCAACGTCAACGGCCTGCATCACAACGCTCTCGTGTCCGTGTTTCTCCGCTCGCTCGAGTATTTTGAAGGGATCATGTTCCTTACTACCAACCGGCACACCACGTTGGACCCGGCAATGCAAAGTCGGATACACGTCGGTATAAAATATGAATCCCTGAGTTTGGAGGCCAAATCCCGGGTGTGGAACAAACAATTGAGCAATGCTGGCGCAAAAATCTCGAAAAAAGAGTTGGAAAAACTGCTGAATAAAAGCTCAAATGGGCGACAGGTAAGCAGTCGATATCCATATTATGTGCGGTGGCTGACGGCAATCCAGATCAAAAACATTGCCCGAGCTGCATTTGCACTGGCCAAAGGAGAGGTGGTCACCATCACACATATCGAGACAGCTCTGAACTGCGCTGAAGAATTCGACCTAGACTTCCATGGCGCTGGAGCGCTTGATAATATGAGAGCATACACATGACGATTGATCGGTATGCTATGATCGCCGGCTGTCAGGCAGTCCACCTGTGAGGAATAATGCGCGCGCTTTGCTCTTTCTTTCTTTTTTTCCTTCCTTCCATCTTTCTTTCCTTCTTTCCTTCTTACTTCTTCATGTTTCTTTGTCAGTAATTGTATCTGATGGCAACGCTGCTTGTTCTAACGCTGAACCTCCATGACTTCGCCTTTTATCCAGCAGAAGATCTGCCTTGTTTGATTTTTGTCGTAGTTCAATAATTGACGGAACTTAGTCAACTTTTGTAAACATCGCTCTCCATTCAACGGGAAGTGTGGAGGAATCTCCCTCTGTTCGTAGGTGCTATTTCTCCGAGCATGCTAGATCAATAAACTATCCGTAGCTCATCACTAATGAATGGGGTGGACAATGCGGTCCTTCATGGTCACTCCCCATCTGGTCTCGAAGGAGGACAATTAGCGTAGACCAGGGGGCTGAAGGCATATAAAGCCAGCCCTCCTCCCACTTTGCTTCCATTGTTCCATCTTCCCTCTTCTCCTCACAAAGACCACCCCAGCTTTGCAAAGCATCCGACGCCACATTTCCATCATGAGTACCCGGACAACCCGAGCTCGTAAGACCAAGGAATCAGATACCGGCCCAGTGGACAGCAGAGGTGGCAGTGGTCCAAGTTCTGCCACAGGTGCAACAGAAACTCCCATCATCCTATTGATAACAGATCGTAACTGATATCTGGACGCAGAAAAGAACGATAGTAGTGACCAAGCAACAACCATGGCCGAGAGGGTCCAGCAGCAGAGCTCTGTTGAACCTGGGGAAAACATCTCCCTGGGCTCTACTAGCTCAACGAGACCGACATCTCCGGTGCAGGCAACACGCACTTGGGAATTGACAGCTCACGGTACTGTACGCTGTGAAAAAAACGCTGCCGGGGAAGCCATCCATATCATTCTTTCCACAAATCCACTGAATCTCCAAACCTTGAGACCTGTAGCGGATTGGACTCGATCAATCTATACAGCTCTTGCAGAGAGCCGGCCGATAATGCCTTTTCAGCAAATGTATAAACCTCTTAGTCAGGAAGAGGTGGGCTACATCCGGAAGAGGCTGGAAGAATACAGGAAACGGCATATCCATAAATTAGATGGCTTTGACTGTGCAGTAATCCTCGCGGACGCCAAGACCCTATTTTCGTATTTTGTGCTCCTAGAGTCGACGATCAAAACACATCAGGTACAGTTGCAATCTAAACTTAAATTGATAACTGACAGTGATTAGACCGAGCCACAATCCAAAAAGAGACCCACTGGGGCTGCAAACGCGGCGGCGACGACATTAGGAAGCAGGCATGAGGATCTCCCTCTTTGCTCCGCAGGTTTGCACCATTGTATATAGTCATGGTCAGGTTCATGCGTGCTGCACGGTCCAATTCCTCCTGTGCAATCTGGCCATTTCGCTGGAGTTTTTCGCATCTGCCAGCACATATCTGGCAACTACTGACAGTTAGCGGAATACAACATCTCTCCTGAAGATGGAACTCCTTACTGGAATAGTATTGAGAATGATGGAGTCAGGTCAGTATTGCGAGGATGCGGTGGGGAGCGTCAGCTAAGATCTTGAAAGAGACGAATTGCTTGGGTCCATCAACATGAGTAGACTATGCTACCTTATATAGAGAGGGGGGCAGGCATTGGCAGTGGTTGTGCAGTAAGACCGTGAGCCCAGTGAGTAAGAAATTTGGAAAGCTCGATCACGGTATCCACTTCATCTCTAAAGCCTTGGCATTTAGGCAAATGGCGACAATGGACGATCGGCAGGTGACTTGGTTCTGCGTATCACATCCATTTGCCGTCATGCCGCATGTTCCCTTCCGGGCCGTCCCCTTTACTAACGCACGACGATAGGTATATTGCTGGGAATTGCTTCTGTCCCTCAGATTGCTGTCAGTCACAGCAGCTCTGCTCATCTTTTTTAGGCAGCTGTGACCGCCTTGGCTGCCTTGCGTGAACCAATCGTTTCGTGCAACATGCTGTGTAACTTGCCACGTCGACAATATCCCTGCGTTATGCTGAGCGAATCAAGTTCTCTATCCATCCCCGTATCAAGATTGTCACACAATACAAGCGGCACAGTACGATAGCATGTGCAGATATCCCTGTCAATGCAAGAATAGCTAGAGCGGGATGACATGCAGGTGGGCCAATGTAAATGATCGGTTTGCAATAATAACGGACTGCCCTAACTTAGGGTTCTACCGCCTGCCTCAAACAGGTCACACAGTTAAGAACACATGGGATCTCACGAGCGCTCAAATGCCACAAGTACTGGGGACGGACAGAACAATAAGGGGACAACAACTGAACAGTTAGAAGTGACAAGGCAGGTAAGAACATGTATGACGGCTAGTGCTTCCTCTTTCTCCATTAGCTGTCAGGATCGCAACCTCTTTCGTCCAACCAACTCGTCCTCGTATGAATGTGGATTGATAAAAGTCTGACTCCCATGTCATCATGGTATAAACCGTGATGACTTCCTTGTGTCAGAAGGAACTCCTGATGCACAACCTGTTCAGCGGTTTGACGAAGCGTGTCACCTTGTAGGTGGCAAACGCTTAACGGAAAGGAATAAGACACAATATACATAAGAGGTTGTGGAGTTAACATCGTGGTGGAAAGTGAGCTCTAATTAGCAATGGAAACTGCCGGGTTCTCCCTATAAAAGTGTGTCACAGAAGAGAGCAAGGCCATGGTTTCATGAATATAATCTCAAAGTGGAATGATATCCATTCCCTCCATTGTGGTGCAGTAGGTAAACTTGATGGAAGCTCCTTCTAACTTCTGACAACTTGTGTACAAGGTATGGTCAATCATTTATCAGACGTGGCATTTTCTTGCCTCCAACTTTTGCCTTTTGAATTGTCCCCTACCTATTTCTAGGGTATTACCATCTCCCTCTTCCACCTCGTCTCCAATATGATCTGTAAAGCTCCATTGCGGGGCGTCCACATACTCAGAGTCCGTTTCGTCAGCTGAAGTATCAGACTCCACGAAAACTGGGCCAGCCGTTGAAAAAGAAACTGTCCCACTGCCAGATGATGCAAAAGACTGAGATTCTGTACACACTCCTGGAACCTTTCCGTTCGCAGCCTCAATAAGTGCGTCTCTCGCTTCCTTCGCCCAGTCACGGGCATTTCGATATGCAGTAGCTCCATGCCGAAAGGTATCTGCATTGCCAGTCATGCCCCAAGTATTGAGTTGAGTCATAAAATATTCAGGACGATTTCCAGAATCGGTTGGCTTCGTGCAATGAGAGGTGTATAACTTGAGCGTCCCATCGTGGTATGTTGATGTAATAGTATAAGCCTTGTGATCATAGGCTGGGTTATCTTGCCCATATGACTGAAGACTCTGAATACCTCGAGCACCCAACGCGCCATCATAGCAAGCCTGTCTTCTAGCTACAGCAGCAGACCCATCGGGTCCCTTTGCTTCCAGAAAGAAATTTGGCGCCATTGGAAGACTGTCCTGTGTCGAAGGAATGATAAGATCATTGAGCTCGTTGCGAATATTTCGGTCGAGCTGTTCAGGTCGAGCTCCGTAGAAATGATCTGGCTTACCAGCGGCAAGAGTCCCGTCTGTCAGGGGAGCAAGGTTTCCAAATGGGTATCCACCTCCGGCACATTTGGCGTCACGCATCTTGCCTTCAATAATTGGAATCACCGAGACCGTTACTGGTTGCTCTTTAGATGCATGTGCATCTGCCTTCTTGAATTCTTTGAATTCTTTGTCAGAAAATTTTGATGGTGAAAGAGAAGGTCGAGGTCTGACTAATCTTTCATTAATGTCCCCCCAGTTGTTCGGTATTGGCGGGATCTGACCATTAGGATACTCGTATTCTGGGGGATAGACACCGTGATCGATTAGTTTCTGTTCGAAGTTACGTTTATAAGCTGTGGTGCTGGTGGTTTTGGTGATTTCGGTGCTCTGCGTTTCTCTGCTTTTTATGGATGGAGCAGATGTTGCAGGTCGCTTTCGACCCTGAGAACTGGACTGGCTGGAGTTCATCGTATGCTCAAGAGGATCTGGAGATTTCAAGTACTGGATTGAGAACGGTCAGCTCTGATGCCAGAGGAATCTGGAAAATACTTACGCCTCTTAAACCCGACAGGTTCGGACCACCGTTCCTGGAAAACTGTTTTATATCCTTCAAAATATCCGGTGCACAATTGTTGGGAAAATTAGGATCGTACTGGGTACATCGGCGTGTTTTCTTCAGCTCAGCGAGAAGCTGCCGAGTGAGTGGCCTTTGAGGTTTTCGGCAGCACGAATCATATGGGATTAGAGCAGTTTGGTTGTTTCTTCGGTTTAGCTCTCTCAGCGCGCCTTTGGTTAACCAGATTTTTGACAGGTTGTCCCAAAATCCTGGTGGTGATTGAGATCTGGGTGAATTGCTAAGCTTCTGCTTTTTTGATTGATGTTGCGATAATCCGTTCGGATGTTGCTCTGAACGCGGACGTTTCCGTGGGGGATTGGAGAGAGATAGCCCGGACATGTGGGAGTCAATGGGTTTGACAAGCCCTTCTATATATGGAGGATGCATCAAGGATAGATAGGGATATATATATCTATATATTCTGCACCCAACGATGTCTTTAAGACGGCGTGAGTTTTGGGTAGGGGGACTGTTTCAAGCAACTTTCTCGGCGGGGGGGGAATTCAGGCGCTTAGTGTGTCGTCCAATAACGTAAAGGTTGTGTTACATCGTACTGTTGGGCTAGAACCGGAGTAAGAGCATGTTAGGAGCCCGTCATCCGTACTCTTCTTGTTGCAGAACAAGATGGAACGGCCATGCGCCATTGGGCGGTCACGTGCGGCGCGTTTTGAGCTTGAGACACACTTGAATCGTGCACACCCTTTCGGTGGAACGATTTTTGATCTCGACTCCACAATCAATCCTCCTCCGTCGTTTCAGGCTGAGCTGGGTGGGGAAAATTAGCAGATCGGCATCAAGGTGAGTTGTTTTTAGAACCGATGCGTTCCATAAACCCTTCCGCAAGCTTAATTAATTTACCTTTTGTGTTTGTGCTAATATGTGTGTTGCAAGTAATGGTCTTGGTCCGATAAGCCGAGGCAATGCCTCGCAAAGCAAACTAAGATCAGTCCAGGTAGGGTTGTTTAAGGTGCATTTTGAAAAGGTAATCATGTGCCTAAGGCTGAACTGTACACATCACCAAGCGCCAGCATGCCACGATTGGCCCAATCGGGTTACTTCAGTGTGACTGTGACGGCGAAGTATGCGAGGCAAATTATTAGTTTACCCAACGCAAGCTGGCTTTGTTTGATTGTGCTCCCCCGCTTTGATAAAAGCCCACTCCAAGCAAGATAACATGGTAACTTTGCCTTTTTTTTGAACAACTTACCCCACACCTGCCCATATCAAAATGACGTGGCCCAACTTGTTTCGTACCGACAATGCCACTGATACTTTGGCGCAGGATTCCCTTGAGCAGACGGTCGATGAAGAAACCCAAGAGATAATCCAAAATTCAATCAGGATATTTAAGCAACAACTCAAGGAGGAGTGGAAGCGTCAAAGAGCTCCTCAAAGGCTGAAGAGAAAACTACTAGAAACGCGGGCGTCTGAAGCAACGACCACAGCACGAATCTTCTTGGATTATGGAGGATTCAAAGCCTGGTTTGCATATTTCCTTGCAACGGGGGGCAAAACCCATTTCAAGGGACGACATGATAGATCCGTCACCATTGCTACATTCCAGAAGCTATCCTCAGGCGACCGAATAAGCACGGCGAGAAGAGTGGCAGGTATACAGCCACACCCTACCGTCCACAGTGCGATTCTCAAGATATCTCAGGCTTTTGAAAGTGACGGTAGGCCATCTAATGGGTTATATTCTACTTTATCCTAATCGGGCAGTAGGGATCCTGGAGACTCCTCTGAAGAGCAATCAAGAAGCTCAACTAAACTCGTCAGCAACACGCAGTTCGACCGACGTCGATATCATACCCTCCCCGAACGAGACGCAAAGTGGCCCCGAAGAAGCCCCCGGTATCTCCCTGCACACTCAACCTTCTTCGCAACACCTGGTGCTCGAAAAGGCATCACTTCAAGGGATCGCGGACGTTTTCGACCACTATATGTGTGGTGCGATCAGAAAGGATACAGTTCAGAGTGGTGGAATCACTTACTTCAAAGCTGCTGTGACGATGGACTTTCCTTTTGACGGGCTAGTCGATTGCCTGATGAGCTTGGCGATCCACCACAGCAAGGTCGAATATCTAGCCATGGCGTTGTTCAAGGTACATGTGGAATCGGTGGGACAAGTTCGGTATGTGATCCTAAAAGAAGGGGCGAAACTAATACCCAACCCCGAAATGACGCTGAAGGGCGTTCTGGATGACGCTATCATGCGTGTACTTGGTCCTGAGGTACATGGGGCGATCAGAGCAAGCCGCATGCGCAAAAAGGAATTGGAAGAAGGAAATCATATGACAGAATGCGTCTCGATGATAGTCACAAGCAGATATGATGAAGGGGCCATTATCAATTTGTCTCTGGGGCTGAAAGGTGGTGCTCAAATACAAAATAAACTATATACATAGAATGCACTCCAGATTTTTCCATCGGACGCTATGCTATCCTTCCTTAACTTGCCCTCCAACCAGGTACAGCTCGATACCTATAGGTAGTTTCACTTGACCAGTAAGCTTGCTATGCACCATCCCCTCTCCTCTATTCTCATAGACAGTAAGAGCGCTACATCCCCTCCAGTATACCCACTGACCCTTGCCTTCAACCCACTTGACTTTATTTGTTGAGACGGCCGAGAAATCGACTGTGGGATCGAGTTCTTGAGGGTCAAATGCCTAATAACATATTAGATGAGCCGTGATGATAGAAGAAGTGACATACCATCAAGATATCGTTTTGCCTGTGCCAGGATACAACTGTGTTTGCGAGGAAGTGATGAATCCGGTCGGCAGTTGTCTACTTAAAACCGTCTCCTTGAGGTCGCAAATCCAAGCCACGGTTTGTTTGTGCTTCACAGAGTCGGGACTAAGATTATGAAGTTAGTTGGGGGTAACGGATTGCAGGAGTTTGGAAGAAATACAATGATGACGGTGCCCCGCTGCACTCAGCGCATCGTGGGTATAGAAGATTGGCAAAACCGTTGGTATTCGAAAATTGTTGCTTCCGAAGACTGCGCGACTTAAATGCAACTTCAGACGCAGTTGGCGGGGTTGGAGTGCCATGTGATTTTGAACTGCCGGTAGTGGCCGTAGGCAATCAGCAGTTGGCACCAACCTTCAGACTAATGATATCAAAATTAATTTCTTCCCAACAGGAGTGTTTTCAAGGCCTGGGGCGACAATAAAGCTTGAGATGGGGCTTCAGGATAACGAGCAAAGTGCTACTTCGGTTCTTGACTTGGCTGACAAAGAAAATTCATATCGTCGCTGGCTACAAACCATCAATCAATTCGGCTGTTTGACAGTGTTCATAGAAGTTATCAATCAGCGGATGTAGGTTACAAGCGCTCTTCTTATCTCGCTCAGGTAAGGTAATTTAAGGCCTTACTTAGAGCTTATCTTGCTTACGTAGAGGTAAATTAGGTCTGTACTCTTCCGCGGTGTAGGATAAGGCACTAATAGCATATCTGGCATTGAGCTCGCAAAGCTCTTCATCCCAATCGACAACTCTACTGGCCTATAGTTTGTTTTCTCCCTGGCCGTCAGCATAGTCTAGGTTGGTATGGACAGCATATCCTGCGTCTGGAAATGTGAGGACACTGTTCGACTCGACAGCATATAAGGAAGCAAGATTCCTCGCATCCTGAGGCGATGGAGTTCTCCAAGAATTTATCATTTCATAATCCCTCGATCAAGGACAAACAATTACGAAGTATTAGGGTTATTATTCAACCAATTGCACATAGTAGCATTTTTTCAGGAAATCGAATCTCACTACTCATACCACAATGAACGCATTCAACGGTGCTGGCTCTTTGCCAATCCACACTGCCCCGTCTCAAATCTCTATTATGGATGTCTTCTTCCCCGGCTTCACCGGCATCTCTGCATCCATGCAACAGTTCCTGGCTGGCAACCTGAACAGCTATGCTCACCTGGTGTGCATGGGCGGGATGTTCTTGTTTTTGGGTAGATATGCGTACCGCTACATGACGGAATTGGTGGAGGCCTATTTCAGTTCGTGACTCTCCCCGTAGTGCTAGCTCTTTCTAACCATCGAAAGCTTCGACCGTCCACGTCTCCTACTACAATGAAGCGTACGATATGCTTATCGCCTGGGTATCCACGCAGCCCTTCGCCCATAAGGCTCGCTCCTCTCTCGTCAGCATCGACGGCATGCAAAGAAGAGCATATGCTGATGGTCTCTCAAAAGAGTACAAGAAGAAACCATTGCGCTTTTCACCTTGGAATGGATCATTCTTCTTCGTGTACAAGAACCATCTGCTCCGGTTCCAGTGCATGGCAAAAGACACCAAGGAAGAGATCTCCATTTCCTGCATCGGCGGATCGTCGCAAATCCTTAGAGAACTCCTTAGTGATTGCCGAGCCAAGTATCTAAAACTTATCCAGAAAAAGACTGCAGTCTTTGAGCATAATGATGGTGAATGGAGGAAGGCGAAGGCAAGAGACATCAGACCAATTTCGACAGTCATCATGGATGAGGACGAGAAAAAGGCCGTGCTGAAAGATATCGACGATTTCCTGGACGAGCGAGCTCGGGGCTGGTATGCAAAGCGCGGGATTCCCTATCGAAGAGGGTTCCTGCTGTATGGGCCTCCTGGCACCGGGAAGTCCAGTTTCAGCTTATCTGTCGCCGGGCGTTCTGAGCTGGATATCTATGTACTTAATCTTTCGAGCATCGACGACAGCCGCTTGAACAGTTTGTTTGCCCAGCTTCCCCCGCATTGTGTCATTCTCTTAGAAGATATCGATGCTGCTAGTACGAGGCGAACGGGAGACAGTGAAACGACAGAAAACGCCGGCCAGGCCGCGGTACGCCCCTCGCAGAAAAGCAAGTCTCAGGGAAATGTATCTCTGTCCGCTCTTCTTAATGCCCTGGATGGTGTATCTTCGCAGGAAGGTCGATTGCTGATTATGACGACAAATCACATCGAGCGTCTGGATGACGCGCTCATCCGCCCTGGCCGCGTGGATAGAAAGGTTTTGTTTCAGCTCGCTGATAAGAAGATGAGTTCTCGTCTTTTCTGTACGGTTTTCAAGGAGTCGGATGAGGATGACAGCAAGCCAAAAAAGAAGATCGATGATGAAACAATTGAGCGGCCAGATGAGGATCGCCGCAGCCCAGAAAAGAAGATCTATGACGAAACAATTGACGAACTTGCGGGTGCCTTTGCCGCCAAGGTTCCGGACCAGGTATTCAGCCCAGCTGAGATCCTGCTATCGTTCCTGCTTGAACACAAGCGGTCGCCTACCGATGCAGTGGCTGAAGTGGAGAATTGGGTTGCTAAAGCCAGCAAGGAAAGGGGAAAGGTGAATAATTATGCCAGGGCACGTGCAATTCTCAACCCCACAGACTCTTTCGAGGACCTTACAGAGAGCACCCAGGCGCACAACGCGTGATCCACCGCGGAAGTCTGGCCCACCCAACGCGTTCTTGCGCCTCAGTTTTATGCTTTTATAGTGGAATGTTGATGTGAATGGTCAATCTGGGAGGCCCTCTGGCATTTTGTTTGACGAGATGTTGATTCGGAGTTTCCCTTCTCGGCAGGCGGACTGGGACGGATTTCTACATATCTTCCCCGGCTCTCATGTATGTCGTCTGTCAGGTCTGCCGGTGTACGAGCTAGCCTGTGAGGACTAATGCGCTCTGTTCTTTCTTTCTGCTTCGTGTTTCTCTGTCGGTAATTGTCTCGATGAGCCACGTTTTATCCGGCGCAAGACCCACCTTGTTTGATTTTCTGTCGTAGTTCAATAATGGATGGAAGTTAGTCAATTTTGTATACATCGCTACCATACATCAACGGGAAGTGTGGAGGGCGTACTGTAGATGTCATATGAACCTCCCCTCTGTTCGTAGGCCCCGAGCCGGCCCCTAGCTCAGCCAACGTATCTTGTAAACGGTGCGGTCTCTCACGATCGCTCCAAATCCATCTCCAGGGGGAACATTAGCATAGACCAGAGGGTCTGAAGATATATAAAGCCAGCCCTCCTCCCACTTTGCTTCCATCCCTCGATCTTCCCTTTTCTCCTCGTAAAGTACCGCAGATTTCTCTATGGCGTCTATGATTCGACACTTAGCCCAAAACAAACCAATGGCACCTGACGTCCAGACCGATAGCTCCGATGCACGCCAAATTCTACCCAAGAAGAAGCCAAAGTGGTCCTCAGAAGAAGATGTCCGCATCATCGAGCTTCGGGGGCGCGGAATGACGTGGGAAGATATCAGCGAGAAACTTCCCGGGCGAAGTGCAATGAGCTGTCGCCTGCACTACCAGAATTACCTCGAGAGGCGGGGTGAGTGGAGCGAGGATCTCAAGACCAAGCTAGCATTGTTATATGAAAGGTAAAAATGGTGTGATATCTGATGATAACCGGCTAGCTTACTGACAGAGCAAGCAGATTCAAGTCGGAAATGTGGGCGAAAATTGCAGAGGAGATGGCCATGCCCTGGAGGGCCGCTGAGGCTATGCATTGGCAGCTCGGAGAACAAGAAATAGCGAGACGAGCTGGAACAGTTCCGTTCTCATTCTCGCAGCCCACATCAGAACCTCTGGAAGCATCACGCACAGTTTCCGTTCGGCTCCCTTCTATTGCAGAGTTCGAAGCCGGAGTCCTAGCATATAGAAGTGATCCACCAAATTCCACAGAATTGAACTGCAGCCACGCAGGTACTCTCCCAACGACGGGTCCTTCAGCGGCGAATTAAACATGGATGGCGTGATTATCACCGCAGTGGCTTAATACCAATGATAGCCATACCACTGGGGGTTCGATACCGCAGCGCTCGATGTATGTCTCTGGACAGGTGTCCAAGGCTAATCAGACGATGGTTATAGTTCCGGGTATGTTGATGGGCTGTATTTATTCTTCGCGGCCCCCCACTGTGGGAGACCGGACTCTCAAACAGTAGGTCCCCGGCGTTCATGTTCGTGGTAATTGTAAACTCTCATAAGGTGCTGCCTGTTTTAGTGCTGAATCTTGATTAGTTGTATTCTGGTGCAGGGCCTGCCTTGTTTGATTTTCTGTCTTGTGTTCCTCTTGGAAAGTTTAATAATATGAAAGTTGGCTAAAACTTGCAAACATCTTTAGCCTATTGGCAGATGCCACAGAAACCACTGTAGCGAGAGTAGAAAAAGAGGCTAACATAGGACCCTGGGGGAGGACGGGCAGCTTTATGGAAGATCCAGGTGGACTCGGGGGTGAGTGAAGATCGGGGGGCGTGAGGGAGGGTGAATGGGGAGCGCAAAATGGAGCAGCAAACTTATACTGAAGTATGTTAACCAACACAAAATGATACTGGACCGAGACACCGTTCAAGAAGAGAACCACGAGAACCGTGGGAAAGCGGCAACGACGTTATTGAAGCATGGGAGATGAAAGTATACGGCAACCAGAGATGGATTACTCAAGGTAGGTGCAGAGTCTAACTTAGTTCCAAGGTCAACGGCGAAAGTGATTAACCCACTTTCCCTCATCAAACCGTCTGCCACCATATCAAATATTTTCTTCCCCATATAATCCCAGAGCACCATAGGCGGGGAATAAGGAAACTGTGCGCAAAGAGGATGGCTGTATGCGACAGTTCGACATCAACCCAACCGTGATGGCTTGCTAGTCACTTTAGTTGCCTGTAGCGGGCAATCGGTGGGTCCACAGCGGCTATTTCGGGCAACCCAGGGTGGTTTCATTTCTGGAACCCTGAACTTTTTGCCTTTGGGACTTTTGAATTTCTTCATTTCTTCATTTCTACATTTTTAGTCTTTTTACCCCCTTTTTAGCAGTCGCTCCTTTTTCCCGTCAATATTGTCTTCATGATGTTTTTTATATTTCCGTAGCTGCATATTGTTAGAGAACCTTTCAGATGCTTCCATGCCAGAGGTAGCTAATTCAAGACACAGCTCCTTTTTCTTTAGTAGCATAACATGGTAAATAGAGGTTAATGGCACAGGTAATTAATACAAAATTGGCCCTGTCTGAATCGGTCTCAATATGCATCCAGAGTGGATCAGAGAATTTCCTAGAGTCTACTGTACAGGTACTGTAAAAATCCTCACAACTTTTGAATGACCAGGATGACCGCATGTAAAAATAAAATGACCCTATACTTTTGCGGTGTGTAGGGTGACCAGGCCACGCTTTCGATCGCGGGGCCAAAAAGCGGGATGCTCGTTGGAAATATCCAAGGAGGCCCTGCGCCAAGAGGGCGAATGCCAAAGTTTCGTCATAGGGCTTTCGGGCTGCGGTTTATAATTTTTCCTTCGTGTTGGGGACCTCACACAGCGCCAGCATCCTTCGCTAGAGTTCCACAAGTTTCTTTGGCCGTGTACTGTAAACGCCCTCCTTTCTCTCTCTGCTCTGTGATCTTGTCTGTTCTGCCACCTTGTAGTCCTCTGCCCAACTATAGTACTTTGTGGATTTTTACTTTCTGTAATTTGGGTGGCCGTCCGGTTCTTTTTATTTCTTGCGAAGGGCCTTTTGTGTTTCCGTACAGCATGGGTATTCTGCTGATCACATTTCAGGTGGGTCGACAATTTTTCATGGCAGGTCACATCACTTATGTGCATTGTATAGGATAGAGAAAATGTGGAGAAATCCGACATGGTAGCAACACATCCAGAAGTGAGTCACCAACCTCTGACACGGTAGACATGACTGACGAACAGGTCATCTCACGCGTACGCGATGTGCTACGGCTTCTTGAGCAACTCGGAACGGCAGGGGGCTGCAGAGCTTCTGGACAGAGTAAAAGCCAGCGAACCAAATCCTCCCTCGTTTGTATTTCAGAGCCACGATGGTTCGGGTTCTCGATCAAACGCCCGCTTTGATCAAGAGTTGCCAGTGCAACTGCCTTTGGCAACAAGCCTCGATGACTATCTTCCCTTGTTCGTCGCCTCGTTGAATGAACCGCCTGTTGACACGATTGATCCTGTTTTAATGAGCATACCGGAAGGGGTTTGGGATGCCACGGTACCCGGGGATGCTCCACAGTCAAAAAATATGTCTGTACCAGAAGCCGAAAGTACCTTATTTGTATCCCCCGCCAATACTACTGCCGCGGGGCCAGAGGGGCCCTGTGGAGAACAAGCACCTCCAGATGGAGATACTGACCTTCCCCCAACTCCACTGGAAGTTTCTTCAAATGAAATCTACAACCAATGGACAGCAGTGAACTAGTCAGGCCGGGCTCGACTTGGCTGAGATCTACATAGTCCGGAGAGCATCAAGGAACATTCAAATCTATGGGCAGGGCCAGCTTGTTCCTTGGGAATGAAATTGTACGACAAGGAAAGATCATTGTCTTTGGGAACCTAAACATGATTAAATATTGAAATGGATTGTTTACATGACCCGTAATATCCATCTCTCTTGTGGGGTTCTAGTAAGGCTCAGCAGAGTACTGGTAACCAAACGAAATGAACTGGTTTAAACCGGAAGGCATATTAGAATATTCATGGCCTGGTCATGCCAGATGTCATCCCTGGGGGAAAACAATCCCCTATGGCCGTCAATCGAGTCGTCAATGAAGTACGGAGCGAACTGTGGTTGGTTGACCTCCCTATTAGGATATGCATGGTGACGTCCCATCTAGCCACGTCTTGGCGCCCTTGGTGGTCCGGACCAGAAGGACGCCAAGGCGTGACCAGGACAGAGATGATTGGTGTGTTTTTTCAGTGACCTCAATAGTTGATGATTGGTTGGTGAATTCATTTGCTCTGGAACAGAAGAACATCAAAAACATCTTCTTTTTTCATTTTTATTATCATATCTTCATCTGACTTAGAAAGCTGCTTCTATGACAGAACTGTTAGAATCTTCTTGTGAGAAAATATTCATCTTTTTACATTGGATTGATTGCCTGGCGACATTGGATTGCTGGGAGCTATACTTGAAAAAAGTGCTATGTCAATGGACTCAAGCCTGTAAGCTTAATGAGAAGAGTTTCTCAAAAGTGATATAGTCTTGTTGTAGTGTAAGAGATATACTATCTAACTCATGACACAATTTTTCATAAGAAATCAGACACAAGATAAGATACAATCTATGCTGATAAGTATATGAGTAGAGACTTGAAGATCATGTTCTGATTCAACTGTATCAAGAAGAATGATTCAGAAGAATCCTCTTAGGTCTGTCATGGCCTTGTGTAAGTTGTCTCAAGACAAAATCAGTCGCAAGACGTGCGACCTGTTCATGTTGTCATGTGATTGATTATCCCCTGTCTCCCCTGCAGTTGACAAGTTGCCTGTATGACATTGACGGGGTAAATGAAAGCCAGTAGTTATAAATTTATTTCACAGCTCTTCTCTTGTTAATCTGCATCCAATCCAAATCTCCTTGATCGCTCCGGCTGACGGCCGTCTCAGCAGTAGAAAGGCAGAATGCTTTTGCATGCCATGATTCGCGTTCGACATCGCTGAGGTCAAAGTATGTTCTTCATAGATATAATGAAGAAGAAATAGTAAAGTGAAACGAAGTGGGGAAACCAAACATAGAAAACGAAAGAGGAGAATGAAGAAAATGAAGAGAATGAAGACTTCAATTGTTATAAATTTAAGCATCTAACTAACTAGAAATAGAAAGGTTTCGTGAGATTGGGCCATCTTGAATCAATGCTGACATAATCCACGTGACCTCGTTCGACGACATTCGTTATTCCAGTAGGCTGCCAGCAGCCCCAACCCTCCATGCTCCTGCAAATCGTCCAATGTCATCTTGGCATACACCTTGTAACCCCCGGGAACCCTCTCTATATTTCGTTGAAGGGATGGAATGGCGACAAACGGATCGGAGTCGCTAAGCAGGTTGGGACTCATTGGCCCATCGATGATGATTGGGTCTTCTGCGAGAGTGAGTGAGGATGTTTTTCACAGAGCAGGTACTGAGCCTTACCAGCAGAACCCAAGCACTTCCACGGCTTTCCTTGTGTGCCATATCCGCGTGTTTCTTCATCTATCCGCCCTACTATCTGGTACATCTCGTCCCCGTCTCGCTTATACACCAGCTTCAGAATCTTCACCTGAGAAAGGGGCAAGATAATGCATTCCTGATTATGCAGCGTCTCCCCCAACGCATCGCCTTCCCAACGGTCGGACACCAGGGGGATAACTTGCTCTGATCGGTCGGCTTGGACGTGGCGTTCCTCGCCCAGGCGTGGGTCAGCCTCGATGGAACCATCGGAGTAATTCAACGGCGCCTTCGATGTGTTGCCTTCACGATCTTCTGGGGCCAGGGAAGGGGTTGGCTCTCGTTGATTGGGTGGGTCATCAGCAACGTCGTTCGGGCTTGGGTCCTCGATGGGGTCGTCAGAGAAATCCGACAGTTGGAGTGACGGTGGGGGAACATCGACTGGGGGGGGGTCGAACAGGATCCATTCGTCCCAGTTAATCTCATCGAGACCAGAGACGGTGGATGGCAGGGCAGAAAAATCAGCAAATACCTCACTTGCTGCATCCTTAGAGAGGTCGCCAGACGCAGAGAAGAGGGGCACGAGCATGGGCATGGGCATTGGAAGGAGGTTCTGGGGCTTTTCGTCTGACCAAGGATCAGGAGTGTACGCTTCCAGGAGGTGCACTGTGTTTAGCTGAGGTGAGGGAGAACCGTCGGCAGGTCCAGGGGAGGTGATATCGTACGTGAAGGTAGCCATGTTGCGAGATGAGATGATGGAATGCTCTTCTCCCCTCAATCCCGTTCCGGGAGGCACTTGACGTCTTTATATATCCCACGTTCAACCCCAGCCTGCGAACAAATATAGGTCAAGTCTAATCAAGGAGGGTGGGAAAAATAGTAGCTGAGATGCATGTTGCGTGGATCGCCAATCATCCACACCGAAGAAGCCGCTGAACCGGGAAATGTTGCATTGAGGGGTTGGACCAATGCAGAAGTGCTCCTGGCCACCACCCCCCATGCCAACATGGGCTTTCGTCCAGCGAATATCAGCCAGTCAACCTATTCAGCCCCCCTTTTCCCCCTGGCTCGAATCGACAAGCCGCTAAACCCGGGGACAAGGAGCATGGGGGTGGCATGCACGAGGACGGATGAACGTAACCCAACCATGTGTGCCAGTCAAGAAGTGCGCCTGTTGGTGTTTTCGCTTAGAGTCGAGACATCCATGGAGCACAGAGGCGAAGCCATGAAGCAATATCCGAGGCGCGACCTGCATCGAGGCTTGTCATTTTGTGATACACACCCCCACGAGTGCGGTTTGGCAACCCCATAGTGGCTTTATCCACGAAAGCAAAACGAAGGAAAATCCAAATGCAGCTCATCCTCTGGCCCTATCATTCATGCCGGCTTCTCCAACGTCAGATCAAGATATATATATCTCATCCAGCCAACATCGACCAGTTGAAAAGGATTCCTCTCCCCCCCCGACCCTC